GCAATGTATCCATCGCTAGAACGTGTCATATGCACTCGCTGTTTTTTTTTTTTTTTTGCCGCTTTCGAAGCACTCTTCCGCCTCCCGAAGCCTGTTTCCTTCAACTTTCACTGTGGGCTATCGGGACCCTTGGAGATCCGTCATCCCCTGACTCTAAAATTCAAGGTTGGCGGAGCTGCGCCTTGCGGAAGGTGCCATTTCAAAAGTGGAACCCGCTGGTGAGGTTCAGTACTCTTGCAGTCTAGTTTCGATAGTGACCGGCCTCACTGGACTTACTCTAGAGATGGTGTCAGAATTTCATGAGTGCTTCTAGAGTTTTTTCGGTCTAGAGTAAGTGGAGTGATACCTCGTTTGTCATGAGTTCTAGACCTCTGACAAATCTAGAAGCACTCGTGATTTTTTCGTGAGTCGAGAGTAGTGGAGCGAGGCCCAAGGTCAAGGCCTCGCTCCACTGCTCTTGACATGCACAAAAGACAACAAATATGGCAGTGTATCTTTACAGGTTTTAGCGGAGGATTCAGCCTCACGTTGCACATTTTGAGAGCAGTCGAGCGAGGCCTATAGACTTTGGGCCTCGTTCCACACCACCACAAAACTCTCGAGTTTCGAGTACGCCCTTATCACGAAATCGTGGTTAATTTTCACTAAAACAAATCTTTGTTCCATGCGCATTAGAGGCCGCCCTTGAAATCGACACCCTTGAAACGAAAACAACCTAGGCCCCCTTTTCGCGGGGCGGTGTTCGGCGCCGCGAAATCTAGTAGTGCGTTTTCCGGACAAAATGATGTTCGTCTTCACACGGGCCCACTCAGACGAGGGACCAGTGCGGGTAGCGCCGACGGAAGTGTGCGACCGCGCCGTTTTTCAAATTCAAATTTTTGGCAGCCGAGGTCTCCTCGTGAAGGCGGTGGTTAAATCCATGCATTCAGCACCTCGTCGCATTCGCTCTTTACAGATGGGCGTCCAATGAGACCTTCAACACTGCCGCGTCGTCCTTCGGCATGGGGAGGTCATCCGGGATCAACGTAGTGAGAGATGACACCAATGCCATCTTGTCGACGTACCCCAACAAGACCTTCATGCCAATCGGTCGGGGGTCGCTACAAGTCGTGCGCGCGTTCACGACCAAAGGCTTCCCGAACTGCTACAGGTGCATGGATTGCACCCAAGTTTACGTGGACAAGCCCGCCAATGCCCCGTCGGAGAATTATTTCAACCACAGACAACAGTGTTTGGTGGTGGCTCAGGTTGTCGTTCATCTGGACATGCGTGTCGTCGACGTGTTTGTCGGCTACCCCGGTAGTGTCCACGACGCGAGGGTGTTGTGGAACTCCTCTTTGTGTAGGCGTACGACGGCAGGAACGTTGTTCATGGCGGAGGTGGTGACTCTACTTGGCGGGGTGCAGACAACGAGATACGTGCTCGGGGACAATGGGTATGGCCCCTTGTCGTGGGTGGTGGTCCTTTATGGCAGAGTTGTGCAGCCCAACGATGAAGCGTACTTCGACACATGCCACAAGCCTGCGAGGAACGTTGTGGAAAGAGGTTTTGGTTGACTGAAGGGCATGTGGATGTTGTTCCTCAGGCACCACAAAACGACGACAAGCAGGATGACGAGGATGAGACAGAGTAACGACAACTTCCTCACGTGGTCAGCCATGCAAGAGGATTTGGCATTGCGGGTTGGCGCGCATGCTCCTGCTTCGCTTCCTGTTGTCTTGTACTACGCATGACAACACAATCAACGTGCCTGCACCCCTACAAACCACGACCCACCCACTCTTGACCCCTGCACTTCCCCTCACTCCGCACTGCTACGATTCACTTTCCGAAACAATCAGCTTGACGACAGACTCTCGAAGCGAGGCAACGGTCGAAAATGCCTGCGGTACCAAACTCGGGACGACGGCATTGAATGACTGCAGTACCGCTGCGTCTACTAGCCACCACCAATGGACAGTACGATGTTGTCCTCGCGGCCGCCAACAAAAAACGGCCAAGATCCAAGAACAGACGAAAGGGCGCAAAAAATAAAAAAATAAAATAAAATTACCCGGTATCTGCCGCTGTCCTACGGCTGCGCTCTTGAACTCAGGACCAAAAGACCCTAAATCCCAAAATTTGAGTCAGTTTTCAGGTCACACTGGAGAGGCCCGCTACCCAAATGCCTCAAACGGTGACCCTTGTGTCATCGGCCTCCGAGGCTGCGGGAGGACCATTTTTTAGAGGTGGTCTCAAATTACCTTTCGTTTTTTCTTTTTTTTAATGTTATCGAATTGAAGAGAATCGTAGATGAAGAAGACATCCCGCCAAACAACTGAAAATGCGACCAGAAACATTTACGTTGTAGCGAAGGCCCACGCGTTATATTGGCGTAAAAAAAAAAAAAAACCATATTTTTGTTTGGCCCTCCCCGGTGTGACCGGGCGCACTTGCCCTGAGTGCAAAGTGTAAGGGTCGCGACTTTGTCCTTTCTGGACGAGGTCCGCCCATGTGACCACACGTGGACCAAATACCTATAAAAAAAAAAACAAATGCCTCAAATTTTTGAGACTTTTGGTCCCCGTGTGAGTATGCCCTGAATGACTTGCATTCAAGGGCGATTTTGGGGCTTGTTAGACACTCCTCAGGCGCGTAAATCCCCCGAGGAAAATTTCGTTCCACCTATCCTCGGGAATGAAAACGAAAAAAAAAGTGAAATCATTTCCTTAGAGAATGCTTGGGGCGTCCTCGGGCTACAGCCATTTGGTGGCATTCCCCAAGGGACCTCCCGAGGTCCCTTGGAGGTCAAAGATCCGCAACAATCGGAGCGGCGAGGGCACCCGTCGTCAGCAAGACGTTTTCGTCGGCTGGCCCGTTGGAGCTCCTATCAGGCAGTGCACGGACATCTTGGGTTTTCAAAGTTCGGCTTCCAGGATCCTTATGCCAACGGTACCCGTTGGTGGCTGGCCGGCCCCCGCGGACGTCGTCAACCAGTGTTCTCCCTCGCAGTGTGTGCTGCCAAACGGAAAGGGGTCGAACGGTCAACAAATTTGAATACTTCAGCTGACCCTCCTTGTTCCAATTGCCCACTCTATTCCGCGACAAAAAACGTTACAAGGCGTTTGTCCCATGCTGCGGTCTGCCGTTTGCAGCCCTCTTCGTCCCCGTTTGCTGGAGGTTTATCGTCGTCATCTAGCTACTACCCTTCCCCACTTGCCTTTCATTGCCGACGTCTTGTGAAGGCCGCCGCCGCTGCTCCAGGTCATCCTTTTGCTTGTCCTTGTTGTCTTTTTCCACGCCTGCATCCTCAGCAGGGTACCAGGACATACATGTAAGATCCGGTCTGCGACGAAGGACGTCATCATGGACGAGCGGCAGGCGAAGATCAGGTCTTCAGTGGACCACTCAAGAAGCCACCACGCAGGCCATGGCCCGGCCCGTCGTGCAAGGGCGTACGACCTATTAGAGTGCGTGTGTTGTATGCTGTCCGCGTGCTCCCTTCATTGTCACCGTTCAGTGGACCTTCATCGTCGTCGTAGAATTACGGCCCTGTCGTACGTGTTGTTGATGGCCGACCTCTATTGAAGGTTGTCACTGCTGCTCCCAGTCACAGTTTTGCTTGTTGTGGTCCTCCTGTTCCACGTGTGCTTCCTCTATTGTTGATGGCCGACCTCTATCGAAGGCTTCCAACCGAGAAGACGATGGATCGACATCGACATCGGCAGCACATCCCACGCACGTTCGTCCACACTGGATGCAATCACCATCACCCGAAAGACTTGCGGCGACATACGCAACGTCTCCTAGAAGTACTCCTTCGTTGCATGATCGCATTGCCTGAGATCCTCCCACGCCCCTCCGGTCCTCCTTTTCATCCACCACCTCGGTGTCACTCGTGGAAGAACATTGCAACCCATGGCGTAGCAAACCTGAACTGCAGCCTCGGTGATGGCCACAGTATCCAGCCCTTCGACCGGGACTTGATGAAGCGTCTTCCTCCTCCGCGCAGATCTGCGCTCTCATTCTGCCCAATGCCCTCTCCTGCTGACAATGAAAGAGCACGGCCGTCTTCTCGATCGTCGTCAACTTCGCACATCCGTCGTCGCTGCCGCCCTCCATCGGCACGTGTGTTGCAATGCTCAGGAACCACGAAAATACAACAGCCTACCAACTCGGCACGACCACGGTAGCCTCAGCGCCAAGTCCCCGACGAGGTTCCCCCTGTGTGCTCGACTCAACACATAGGCGCGGCGGCATGCAGAGGCGATGGCGATGGACCTTCATGGGGCGCTCACAAATTCGTGACGACGTACAAGGACTCCACTACGCCGCTGCAAATGCCCGTTTCCACCGTCACAGATATGGATGCCACCTGCCCCGCATCGCCGTCGTCACACCCAGCACCCAATTTGAAATTTGATTTTCGAACGGGGAGTTCCATTGCTTTTTTTAAGGGTTTTTTTTCCCCCGGTTGCCGGCGCCTTTCAAAATTTCCCGCCTTCGGCAGCTGGACCACACCGTAGCAAGACGGGCATCACGCAATGGACCAAGGCATTGCCCCCTCCGCGGCTGACTATAATATTATGAAAATGGCCGCCGGCGGCCAAAGGATAGGTGAAACGAAGGCGGGAATTTCCTTCAAAACCCCTAAGGAAAATTCCTTGGGCCCCGAGGATGCCCCAAGGAGTGTCTGACGAGCCCCTTTGGCTGTGTCACCCTTGGGTTTCGAGGGCGCACCCTCGGGACCCAAAAAAGTGAAAACAATGCCGGTCGCTCTAAACCGGGGGGTGGAACGAAGATTTTTCGCTGCGCTCTTGAACTCAAGTGGTGTGGAAGCCTTTGAAAAAAAAAAAAAACGAGGCCCAAAGCGGCCAGAAATACGAGAAGAAAAGACAAGCGGCCAGAAATAAAACGCGGGCAATTTTAGAATAAAACGCGGGCAATTTTATAAAAAAATGTGGCTGGTGACGGGCGTCGCCATACGGGGAACGCCGATTCGCTTCGGTAGCAGCCGGCGCCCAGTCCACATGCGGGCGCGGGGCTGTCTTTTCTGGCAGGGAAGAAGTTTCCCGTCATCACGGAAGCGTGGACCACCTCCACCCGCCGACAGACAGATAGACCGACAGACAGGTGATCGGGACCGACGGACAGATAGACCGACAGACAGGTGATCGGGACCGAGCGCCATCACGTCGTCCCTGCTGAAGAAGTTGTCTTTGATCTCCCGCCGAAAGTAAGCGGAGGAAGAGGAGGAAGGATCCAGCTCAGCGTTGTGGAACTCAAGGATATGGTGAGCCGACCGCATAGTCTGCTCTGAAACTCGCGTAATCACCCAAATCTTCCTTCTCGTTATTCTCTTTTGCTTTTCCATGTTACTCCTCTTTACTCCTCTACCGCCTTCTCCTTCTCGTCATTTTCCGAGCCGTCTTTTTTTTAATTTTTTTGGGAATGAGCCGTCTTCTCCAACCGTTTCTCTCTTCTCTTTCTTCGCGAAGTGTTCACACTTAGACGTCCGTGGCTCAGGACCTCGCCACACCACTCTCGAAATTTAATGTGAAAAAGACAAAAATGTGGCGGGTGCACCTGGCCGTGTTCTAGCAGGAAGTTCTTTCTCATTTTGCACATTTCGAGAGTGGTGTGGCGATGCCCTTAGTCTTTTTTGATATGGGCCTCGCTCGACTACTCTCCGCATGCACAAAAGACGAAAAAATATGGCGTCGTATTTTATTATTATTATTATTTTTTTGTGTGTGTGTGTGTTTGGGCGTCGTATTTTTCAATGTTCTAGCTGGGGATTCAGTTTCATTTTGCACATTTGGAGGAGAGAGCAGTGCAGCGAGGCCGTATGACTATTGCTATTCTCTCTCCTTCACCCTCTTCCTTCGCTTCCTTCCGCCGGCTCCTGCGCTTTGGGCCTCGCTCCACTCCTTTCGACATGCAAAAAAGACACAAATCATGGCGCTGTGTCTTTGCATGTTCTAGCGGGAGATTCGGTCTCGTTTTGCACGTTTCCAGAGTAGTGGAGGGAGGCCCTTTCTCGTTGTCTCTCCTTTCAGATGGGAATAGCCTAAGCAGCGTAGCCTGGGATGTAGAGGACAAGGCCGATGGCCCTCTCAGTAAGTTGTGGTTGAGTGGCGGATCCGTGAGGCGCGTTAGGGAATCATTATGCCCTCTGAAGACTACCAGGAGCGCAACCTGGTCTACACGTGAATAAAAGAATCTGCGCGTTTATGGGGCTTTTACGTGGCGAGTTGTAATGTTTGTTTTTTTTCTTTTTCTTTTCTTGAGAAGCACGTTCGACTGGCAGCTTTTGGCCACTTCTTGTCACTATTCTTTCTCTTCTTTTCTTCTTCTTCTTCTTCTTCTTCGAGTATACCTCGCCATCGCCGTCATCATCATCATCTGACCGTCAATGACCAACAATCACCGTGAACCTCTCTTGTTGTTCTTCTTCAGCTGCTGCGGCGCTGCTAGTGCTATCCCTTCCTTTCTCTGCTCTCCCATCTCTTCTCTCTTTCCCTTCGCCTATATCTCTCACTCTCGTGTCTTCACTATTCCGCCATTCTCTGCTACCCCGTACATTCGCTCCCTCTCTGTGTCTCATACCGTATTCCACCGCGGTTCACTGTCTGTCCATTCGTCCGTCCGTCCGTCTGTCTGTCTGTCTGTCTGTCTGTCTGCATGTCTGTCTGTCTGCATGTCTGTCTGTCTGTCTGTCTGTCTGTCTGTCTGTCTGTCGGTCTGTCTGTCTGTCTGGCTGGCTACTGGACTCTGTGTATCTCTGTCGGTCGATCGGTCTGTCTGTCTGGCTGGCTGTCTGTGTTTACCTTTCGGTCTCTGTTCCTTTGCGTCTCTTCTCGTTCTTCCAGAATTCTGTCTTGCTGGCTGTGGGGAAATCTTTGAAATGCCGATTTTATTATTATTATTATTATTTTTTTTTTTTTTTTTTTTTTAATGCCGAATTGTCCGTCTGGAGCGTGGTCGACTGGTAGAACTGCATGCTACGAAGCGCACTTGCAGCGTAGCGTCGTACAATGTAGATGGTTAATGAACATTGTAATGCTCTCGTTTTATGTTGAATTACAGCATTATTCCTGTTGTTAGTGTACGTTATGATGCTTATTCCTAAACGGCTTATTTTTTTACTCCTATTGCTGGTGTACATTCTAGTGTTTATTTCCACTTTAATTTCCAATGCCTTCTCTTGTCATTTCTAGAACTTTGCTCGTTTTTTTCTCTAGAACCTGTCATGTTTCTTTTCAAGCGTTCTATTTTTGTTCGTTGCAAGTGGCAACCCAGCCTTCTTCCTTTGCTCTGTCTGTGTTTTTTGTTGCAACGTTTTAATTCGTCGTTGCAACTTCCTCCCCCCCCTCTTTTCTCCACGTCCCCTCCTAATAGTTGTAACGTTTTAATGTGTTTTTTAAACTTTTTTTGTTGTAACTTCTTAACGTTGGGATGAATTCGAGTGAGAGAAAAAGACACTCAAGGCATGCTCACACTTGGGCTATTTTTTCAATTGAGCTCTGGACGTGATTTGCAGTCAGATAGGTTCAGGACTGGTCGTAATTGCAGTCAGATGCATTCAGAAAAGTCTTTGTGCGAGTACCCTCACTCACACTGCGGTACCAAATCGGTATAATCCCCAAAATCCCCAAAAAAATAGTGTCGGGGATAGTCACACCAGGATCTCATTTCCCAAACCACTTATTGGTGACCCCATTTGACCCCATTTGTCAGCGGTCTGAGGGGTGACGGGGGTCACCTCGGGAGAGGTTACGGTAAATTCCGTTTCTTGTTTGGAATAGACCTGCACAAATGGAAAGAAATTTGAAGACAAAGATATTGCCAGGAAATGCGATCTTGCAGTGTGACTGGAGCAGTAGAAGAGGACCCAAAATCCAGGCGGCTGCAACCTTGTCTGTTGCCAAATGGGGAAGCAGTGTTACCGGTCCAGCCACTATTTTCCCAAATGGGGAAATTCCATCCCATTTTTTAGAGAAGGTCCGATTTTGGGTACGCAACAACGGAAAGCAAAAGTAGAGTTTGAAATTGAAATGGAGTAGAGACTGGGGGAATTGTGTACACAGTACTTCCTAAAGTAATGCCCGTTAACAAGCCAAAATTTTAGGAAACGTACAGGAGCACCCAAATCCACTACAGGAGCACCCAAATTCATCCGACTAGAAATGTTTCTACTCTATTTTTTCCCCCGGCTGTCCCTTGCTGGGCCAAGTACTCGTGGTTTAAAACCATCACCTGAAACGAGTTGAGTACGGACTTAAACCACCAGTACTTGGTGCAACTACTGATGCCGAGCCGAAATATGTCCTGTGCGCCAAGCTTTGCCGACCCTGGAGGGGATGGGAATGGGTAAGGGACATTTTTTCGGTTGGCACAGGTACCGCCCCTTATCCTGGACCTGCTGCCAACAGCTGGAACGAAGATGTGCAGTGTTTTTCACTCGGGCTAGCCTGGCCACAACTGCAGTCTGATACATTCTGGAGAGAGCAGTTCGCAGCCCGTCATGGTTGATTTTTTCCCCCCTGAGGCATTTCAACGTCATTGAAATTTCAACGTCGGTGGTTTTTCGGGAGGGTGAGGGTGGGCATTTTGAGGTTTCGGGGCTTAGCAAGGGGCAGGGCACGTGAAGGACCAGTAGCTGCCTGTAGGAGGCCGAGGAAGCTGGTCCTTGAGTTTTGAATATTCCGAAGGTCCACTTTTTTGAAATAGATGAGCAGTTTTGGATAGAACACGTGCCCGTAGTGTTCGAATACAACATGTACCCTTTCTACTCAAATTTCACTACCTCAGCCTTCCCCAACCGCATCAACAAACGTAGTTCGGGCTGCGCACCCGTGCCCTCACGTTTTTTTTTTTTTTTTAAACAACCCGATCCGTTGCTAGAGGTGCTGATAAGAGCAGGCACCGCTAGCACTGTCGAGGAGGCTCTGTCTATTGGTGGGGAGCTACACCTGCTGGAAAACGGGTCCAGCGTCCCTCATACAATTGATGCTGATATAAGATAAAGTTGTTGAGAACAGTAGAAGCTGCCTCTTCAGCCATAAATTGGCCGCCAGATAGCCCTGATGTTGCTAGCAGTACTACCTTTCTCACCTTTTGAAGAAAATAGAGCGAAATTTGTAGGAAGTTCTGCTGTACTGTAGATCCTGAAAGTATTCCAGAAACCGGACTTTCAATCCATGTCTTCCTGCTCACGACCATACCAGCTCAGAGGATAAGTCGATGAGAGCCAAAGAAAATAGAAACGGAGATACCTTTCTCGGCCATTTGGCTAAGATCAAGTACTATACTAAATTATTTTTTCTGGGCCACGGTATTGCCTCCAGTGTTGCCTCCGTATTGCACTGCAGCAGAGTGCACAGCCCTTCCCCCGAAGCTTGCTGTGTGACTGTAGGCGACTGAGGAGATGCACCTTGTCCAAGTGATCTAGCGGTCCGTTTTTAATGAAAAAGGCAGTAGAGACTATCGTTGCTTTTCTTACAACAGAAAGCAGAAGTTAATCCTTTTTCTCGAATACTACATTCCCTACTTTTCCGACTTAGCTGTCTCCTTTTTTGAGACAGCCAGCTCAACGGCCATCTTATTCCCCCCAAAAGCTGTTTTTTTGGAGAAATTATACGGGCCTCCTTCCGGTTGCCATTTTCGTACTTCTTCTGACGGATCAGAGAGGCATTAAGTACGGTATTCGGGCAACTCAACGGTGCGCCGCATGGGTCCATATGCATTTGCGTCAGAGGGGGCCCAGAGGGGGCCCAGAGGGGGCCTAAGACCCCCTGGGGTACTGTTAGTTTAAGTACGGTGACCCAGAGGGGGTCTAAGACCCCCGGGGGACTGGTGGTTTAGGTATGGTATTCTGGCAACTGAAGGGTATTCCGGCAACTCTTGACTTTCAGACGTGCCCATATGCCACTCCAATTGTGAAAAAAGGAAAAAAAGAATGAATTGTATATGTGACATATATAATATTAACGCATTTCTCATTTTCAATCGGATTAACAGTTTCAGCTGTCACAACCGTGAGTTGCCTCAACTAAGGGCATAGTAACTCACACTACGACCCCAAATCCGCAAAATATGTGCAAAATATGCGGATTTGGGAAGGGTAGATTTGAAGTTTTGGGCATGGTTTGGGTCGCACTGCTGTAATTTTTTGGATGGGACAAGGTCGTGGCCATCTGGAGAAATGGCGGTTTGGTACTTTGCTAGTCACGCGGCGCCATCCACAAATTGTGCAAGGACTGTTGTGAACGAATTTTCACCAATTCTTGA